GAAGCTAAATCTGTCCATGTGAAGGAGCCATGAAGATGGAGCGGTCCATTGGAGGCCAAATCTGTCCATGGGAAGGACATATGAAGATGGAGCGGTCCACTTGAGGCAAAATCCGTCCATGTGAAGGACCTATGAGGATGGAGCGGTCCACTTGAGGCAAAATCCGTCCATTTGAGGGACCCATAAAGCTGGAGTGGTCCATTGGAGGATAAATCTGTCCAATTTTGGGACCTCTAAAGCTGGAACGGTCCTCTTGAGGATATATCCATCAGTGGCTTGCTAAAGAGGACCGCGTAGAGGACTGATGGAGAGGACCACGGAGAGGACCGTCGGAAAGGACCGCGGAGAGGACCGCCGGAGAGGACCGCGGAGAGGACCGCCGGAGAGGACCGCGGAAAGGACCGCCAGAGACGACCGCGGAGAGGGGCCCGCCACTTCCGTCCATGGTTCGGCGGAGGAAATCGGAGCTAGCTGGATCTCGTCGAAGATGAAGGCCCGCTTGTTGTCGATGAGGCTCACCGGAGCAAAGGGAGCTTGATGGACGAACAAGAGCAATCGCGGCCGCTGCCATCCGCGGCTCGCCGGAAAAAGTGGGAGCTCGTCGTAAGGCCGCCGCTGCTATCAGTGGCTCGTCGGAGGAAGTGGGAGCTCGCTTCTTCCGGGCCAAGTTTCGCCAGAGTGGACAATTGCTAGTGGTATGGCTCGCCGCTCGATACCGCCAGAGATGAAGCACGCTAGAGGGCTCGCCGGTCTGGGAGGATACTCACCGACCCTAATGGAGGGTACTGCTGGCGTCCCCCTATCGCGTGCTCGCTCCTCGCCGGAAAGATCCCTGCGGTCCGCGGCTCGGCGACGGAGGGAGGATTTGCCGGAGCTAGAGGAGTCTCTTGTCTACTGGACCGCCATGCTGGCCGCGGTCGCCAATGGCTCGTCGAAGCTTGTCGCCGGTTATAACTTTGCCGGATCTCCAAGCGGTCACGGATCTAAGCTCACCGGAGAGAGGCTCTCCAAAGGCTCGCTGGAGAAGACCGGGATTAGAGGAGTTCACCGGAGGCTCGCGGCTGCTGTCCGTGGCTCGCCGGAGGAAGGAGGAGTTCCTCGAAGACCCGCGGCTGCCGTCCGTGGCTCGCCGGCATAAGAAGGAACTCGCCACAGATGAAATTCATTGGATTGGGGGCTCTCTGTCGTTGCCAATCACTCGCTTGAAGTTCACCAACTGATTCACTGCTCCAGATCTGATAGCCTACGAAGAGGAGGAAGACCACCACTTTTCCTATTTCTTTCCTCCTTTTTTTGACCCGTTGTCTCCCCTTTTTAATTTATTTCTCTCTTTTTTTTACTTTCTCTCTTTCACTATTTTTTCTCCATTACAGACTCGGAGCACAAAATTTTTTTGTGACCGGTCCCACGGGTGGCGCCAGTGATGGAAACCGCTTTTTCGGGGCGCCGACCCGATGAAATCGGTACCGGGTCGGCACCGCACCGAATAGCGAAATCCGGAAATTAAATAAATAAATAAAGTGGAGAGAAAGTATTTATACGTGGAAACCCAAATCGGGAGAAAACCACGGGCCTTTTTAGGCGGTGCCATGCCAAAGGGGAGGAACTTTTTTTAATCTCGGGGGAATTTACATATACATCACTGTAGGAGCTTGGAGCCATTAATGGAGCTCCATGCTAAGAGAAGGAGAAGAATGAAGAATAATAGTAGAACTAGTAGGAAATTGGCTTCCCTCTTCCCTCCTTCGTTGCATGCATTTAAAGAGAAAGAAATAATTGATGGAGACAAGAGGAGACATTCTCCATGTGAAGCCCATGTGCAGCATGTGGTTTCCATGTGATAGTGTTTCACGGGTCCCGCCAAATGTCTCCACATCACTTCAAATATATTCTTATGTCCATATATCTCTGGTTCTGTCTTGAATAATTAACCTGATTTATATCTTGAGCCAGATAAAATTGGTCTTTCTTGTACTGTTCAAATAATATTGGATTAGGAAAAATCTCTAATCCATCACCTCTGTTGAAGGCAATATGCCTACGCGGCTTAGATCCATCGCAAACGTCGGTGATAAAATCTCATGTCGCTGCCGCCATGGAACGCTCCATGCCACGGGTAAAATTTGTCACCAGTCCCCATTCCATTGCGAGCAAACTATATCGCCCATGGTGGTTCCCGGCGCCATCACCGAAATCCTTCGTAGCTGATGGATTCCGGCGTCGCCATCTCCACACAAAATAGTCATGGTTGCATCTTTGCAAGTCTCTTACAATCAATGTATTGCTCTTTGAGAGTTTGAGATTATGTAAAAGGATGGAGAACACTAGCCACTAGTAACCACTCTATTTGATTTAAAAAGCTAGGCTTGATTTAAAAAGCTTGTGTCCAAGATAAATGATCTGATCAAACAAGTCAAGAACGCAACTCATGAAGATTGAAGATAAGACTTTGAAGACCTGTTTATCATATTGAGTTGATGATTCTCACAACTAAAAAAATGGAGGGCTTCATGAGGCGAAATATTATCTGACCCGGACATCTCGGTCTAAGTTTCCTAATTACTATTACCATAATTATCATTACCAATCAATCCCCACAAATTACTCCATCATCATCCTAGTCAACTCTTTACCATAACTAACTACACCATTAACTCTTTACCATATAAACCTCCACCATTCACTCCGTCTCTTAAAATATCTCCACCATTACATTTTTCTCCATAACTACATCCTCATCTCTCACTATAAATACAACTCTCCACCTTCAATAATATGGTGGAGACCAATTCATGCCACTACACAACGGAGATAAATACTCTCTGATCTCTTCATATTATAGTTTTCTTCTCTAAACGAGCTACAATATATATACTACCCCCAATATTAATAAAATCTCCCCTTTGGCATGCATGGTACCGTCTAAGAAGGCTTGTGATTTTCTTCCGATTTGGGTTTCCATGTCAAAAATAGTTTGTTTGTATTTTTTGTGATTGTTAGACTCGTATATCATTTCGGCACAATAAAAATGATAAAACCGGTCAAAACAATTAACACCATCATATAATATTAAAATTTTTATCCAAAATATAATTGAAAACATTATTCCCATGCAAGACCTAGATAATTCTCCGAATTTTTAACTATAAAAGCCGAAGAAATATTTTAGTCTCTACATTGCATAAAAAGGTTCGGCTTTTCATTTAGAAAAAGTTTTGTAATTTTTATAATTACTTTATTTTTGGATCAATTTGAATCATGCACTTTAACTCATGTCTCATATGGTTATTCTTAGTACTCCCTCCGTTTGTAAAAAGACTTCTTATTTTGACTTGGAGCAAAAATAAGAAAGTGTTAAATGATAGTTGACTTCTAATTTTGCCCCTGATGTGATGGGTAAAAGTAAGATGTGATGGATAGATTATTAGAGAAAAAGTATGATGTGATAGGTAGGGTATGAAAAAGTAAGGGTAAAAGTGGGTTTTTAATAGAAAGTGGAAGTGTTTTGTTGGAAGTGAAAAAAATGAAAGAGGAAGTGTTTTTAAGAATGGAGGGAGTATAACTTTTGAGATCAATACTTTTTAACTTTGACTATAAATTAGAAAAACACATTAACTTTTTATATTAGTTCGAAATGCAATTTTGAAATATCGTACCAATACTTTTATACTCCGTATTCTTTAATTAAATATAAATGAATATATATTATTCTTTAATTAAATTATAGTTGACTTCCAATTTTACCCTTGATGTGATGGGTAAAAGTAAGATGTGATGAATAGATTATTAGAGAAAAAGTATGATGTGATAGGTAGGGTATGAAAAAGTAAGGGTAAAAGTGGTTTTTTAATAGAAAAGGGAAATGTTTTGTTGAAAGTGGAAAAAATGAAAGAGTAAGTATTTCTAAGGACGGAAGGAAAGGAGTAATAGTCAAAGTATTATACATCAAGTAAGAATAAAAGATACAAGACCTAGTAAAAAAGAGGGAAGAAGGGTAGTTTTTGACAACACACCTCTCGCCATGATTTATCCACTCCAAGGGTAAACACGGAATGTCGCCTCGTAATTACTTCACCCCACATCCTCATCTCCGACATGAAAACCTTGTATTTCCCGGAGCCCCGGTCGAATCCCAGGACACCCAGAGCGTAGCTCTGGCAATGACGCCCCAGCCGCACAGAACGTCTCCTCGGGAGGAAAACGTGGCGCCTCGTACTGGGGTTACAGACGGCGACGTCGCCGTCGTTGTTGGACAGGCAGATCAGCCCGTTCGCGGCCGCCGGCGGATTGGTCAGGTTTTCGAAGTCCGGGCCCTCCAAAAACCGGAACTCTTCTTGGATCGATGGGTCGGTGTAGTTTATGGCGTAGAATTCGTGTTTGCATTGGGGAGAAGGAAGGGCGAGGAGGATGCTGACGCCGCCGGGACGGGCGGAGGAGCGGCGGCGGTGCACCTCGGCGAAGTGGGGGTCGGCTATGATGGAGCGGAAGAGTTTGGAGACGCAGTTGAAACGCTGTACGGATTTGGCCGGAAGCCGGGTGAGTATTTCGAACAGAATCTCCCTTGGGAAATAACAATAATAATAAAACTCCATTACAGTATAATAATTTCCTTCTTGAATTTGAAGCGGATGGAGGTAGGGCTTTTAGGGTTGATATCAAATATAGAGAGAGTTCCAACGAGCCAAGGAATGTATTATAATGTGAAGCTCTTAACTTATAAATTATAATTAAATTAGTCAAAGTCAACTAAACCTGCATTCCGCAATTCACATAAGTAAGGGGATGGATTGATGTCGAGACTCGTGGGAGGTTTACCGACCGGTGGGGTTATAGGGGTTGGAATTATTAATTTTACAAACGAAGCACTGTGTATATATGTCTCAATTGGAACATGATATATGTTTCGTGACCACTCAAAGTGAGTGGTCTGACCGTTAACTATATGCATTGTTTTCTACTCTTTTACATAAAAAAAAAAATACTAAAATAGAAATAAAACATTAAAATATACTCGGAGTAATAAAATAGAAGTTTCAAGTTTAAAACTATGCACTAAAATTGGGCCTACTATATGTAGTCCTCGGTAATTAAAGAAGGGGTGTATAAATTAGGGAATATACGAGATGAGATGCAAAGTTATTTGAGGGAATTCGATGCCAAATTTTGTTCCTCAAACATTGATTTGCTAGCTTTCCAAAAAGGTGATCCTTATTGTGTTATTAACTATGAAAATTCTATAAAAATGACTAAATGAGAACGAACTTTAGATAGTTACTCCCTCCCTCCGAGTTCGGAAATGTTCTTCTCATTTGACTTTTCTACGGTCTTCAAGATTATACTTTGACCCCTAATATCTTTATTTATGTATGGATATATTTTATAAAAAAATGATATTTGAAAACTATATTTCAAAATGAATATATATTTATATTAAAATTATATCGTAATACAATGTATTTTTTCCACATATCATAGTCAAAGTTTACAAACTTTGACCAAAAAAGTCAAATAGAAATAATATTTCGGGACGGAGGGAGTAGATCCCAAAATATTGAACGAATACTAACAACATTATTACTTATTATTGGCAATGCAAATTCTTTTATGATCTTTAAGTCAATGTTCATTTTATGCTCATTCAAAAAAGATTCAACTATGTGCTCATCCAAAATATTTAAAAAAATCACACTTTACATCTAGATCTTATGACAACAATAGCACCACTCATACTATCATTAAGAATAATATTCGGCATAAAATTCACTTGTATATAATTTTTTTTATAAATAATTTACAAGAAGAAATTATAAATATGAGAAGTTTCTCAATGGAGTGAGACTAGAATGATGATTAATTTACGGAAGAGCTCATTTAAAAAGAGTAAAAGTTATGGAAATACATAGAGATCCTAAGTTGTTTAAGGTCAAAATAAAAATTTACACTGTAGTTGAATTGTTACTCTTTCACACTCACTACATTGTTACATTACAATTGTCGTAGACTCATAGTACTGTCATTCGTCGTCGCCGGTTGACCGATCACAGTATCATTGTACAATGTCATCACTTTTAATCACACTGCCAACACATAGTTTTACATCACACCGCTATTATACTCATATTTTGGTTTTAAAAGAACTTAATGTTCCTATTATCATATTTTTCATAATTTTTTACTCTTATCCAAGAAGATTTCTCTTATTTCACACTTAATTTTGGTTAAAGAATAGTATAAACTACAACAATAACAACAACCCAGTTGAATCCCACTACAGTAGGGTCTGGGGAGGGTGTGTGCGCGGACCTTGCCCCTACTCGGAAGTAGGAAGGCTGTTTCCAGGAGACCCCCGACTCCACTTGCACAAAAAATATGATAGGAAACACAGTATAATACAGATAACACAGATAAAGCAACAAGTACAATGAAATGAAAGTCCTGCAAGCAATAGCAAATAATTCCAACCAAACAAAGCACACTACAAAACCACTGAAGCACCGAGCCCTATCCAGTAACTCTAATCCTAGTTCTCCAAAGGTTACTATCTAAAGCCATATCCTCAGTCAGAGTGAGAAGTCCTAAATCCTGCATAATCACCTCCTTCCAATTCTTCCTAAGTCTACCCCTTCCCCTACTACCCCCGACAACTGTAATCCTCTCGCATCTCTGTATAGGGGCGTCAGCATTCCGCCGTCTTACATGACCAAACCATCTCAACCTCGCTTCCACTGGCGCCATGCCGACCTGGCGTCGGATAACTTCGTTCGAAATCCTATCCAACCTTGTCTTCCCACACATCCATCATAACATCCGCATCTCCGCCGCATGCAGACGACACACATGAGTCTTCTTAACCGCCCAACACTCTGCCCCATATACCATAGCAGGTCTGACTACGGACCGGTAGAACTTACCTTTCATCTTGGGCGAAATCTTCAGATCACACAACACCCCTGAAGCCAACTTCCATTTGGCCCAAGCCACACCAACACGATGTCCAACATCCCCGTCTAATTCCCCATCAGCCTGAATTACCGAGCCAAGATATTGAAACTTGTCTGCCTTAGCCTGAATATTTAAATATTTAAAAATTATAATAAAAAATCTATAAAAAAAGGTGATATTACCCAAAGTTATTTTATATAAAATGATCAATAAACACAAGATGTTGTCTTCGTCTGATCTAAGTATATCTAATTTGATTGTATTAAGGTCTAATTTAATCCAATATAATTGTTGGGTTAAGGAACCCGAGGCCTAGGAGACTAGGCGAAAGAGTATCAAAGTGAGTCACGAGTGCACAAGTTGGGAATCATATAAAATTGTAAGTATTAGTGTGCAAGAAAACGTGTCTCCCTTTCTCTCAAGAAAGGACTTATATACAAACTACAGATGAGGCTCCCGACCATTGGTTCAGAGCCCAACGGATCGGGCCCACTAAGATTTGGTTGTTTACCAGCGGCGCCAACAATATCATTATTCCTAAGGCGGCTATACAAAATAGGTTACAGGTAGGGTAGCTAAAACTACTCTGACGGAAGTGTGGCAGGAGTCCAATCGTGGGCCCCTTGACTTGACTGGTTAGGCAGCTCCCATGCCCGTGGCCCCGGTCCGCTAGCATCTTAGGCCGAGACCGAGTACACGTGATCTGCTTCCTGAAGTCCCCTAACGAAAGGCCGGCCGAGGGTGGTCCGAGGATGAACGTGTCTGCCGGGGCCGAGTGTATCTCGACGTAGCTGCGGCCCTCTTGAGACTTCTGTTTCTTTTCATTTCCGCCTAGCTAGGTGGGCCTATGCTTGGCTGGGTTGGGCCGCTATTTCCGTTGGGCTGGATACCCCCATTCCAGGGCATCCATCAATAATATAATTCTAATTGCATTTGAAATGATTTCTGATCAATTTGAATTGGTCCGATCTAGTACAAAAAAATAAGTACATATCTTACTATATACAATGCTAGGATCCACTTTTGAACAGTGTTCCCGCCCAAATACAAGGCTACTGTGGACGGGTTTGGGCCTGATTTTGCTGGGCCGGTTTTGGGCCTGCTTTGTGGTTCGGGTTTAAGCCTGGCATGGTGTTGGGCTCAATAAAATTACTTTATGTCTATTCAATTTTAGTGGTTCAATGAAGTTGAATTGGGAAAAGTGAAAATTGAGTGGCTCCATAAAGTAGATTTGGAAAGAGTAACTTTATGTCAAATCCATCCATTATAAAGATTTTTAATATCTAGCCATTTAATGAATGGTAGCAGAGATGTACTATATATGCTCAAGCATAACAATGTGAACTTCATTCCTAAAAAAATAAACTTCTCAAATAGCCTATAAAAGCATCAAATGTCTCAAAATTCTTCGTTAAGCATGTAGTGTCCTCTTAATGGGTGGAACAATGAAAATTTTCAGTTCCTAACACAGGTCTCCTCTTAGATTGATTAATCTAAGATGGGTTCTTTGGACTGCAACTTCATTTTCTGCAAAATTTCTTTTAATATCGTTCTATATATATATATATATATATATATATATATATATATATATATATTATATATATATATATATATATAACGATATTGCTGGGCCGGTGTTTCTCTATATATATATATATATAGAACAATATTAAAATAAAGTAACCAAAGGAGAATAATTAAAGGAGTGTGTGTGTGTGTCTATATATATATATATATATATATATATATATATATATATATATATATATATACGTGATATTGTTAGCATATATATTTATTTACTACCATATATGTAATTAGTTTCCTTTGTAATTAGTTTCCTGGTTAGTAGTCCTTTCCATACTTGGAGTAGGACTTGGCACATGTATATATACGTTGTGAATATTGAATGAAAGCAAGCTCAGTTTTTCCAAAATTCTACATGGTATCGGAGCCAATCTCCCGGGATTTTCTCAAACCCTAGGCTCGTCTCTTCTTCTCGCACGGTGCCGCCGCCGTAGCTCCACCGACCGCCTCACGACGGTCTTCCTTCTCCGATCGGCTCACGTCGGTCACCAGCTTTGCAACGCCGGCTCTCGTCAATCTCTTCAACCCCGGCTCACGTCGGTCGCGTAGTCACCGCCTCACGCCGGTGCTTCATATTTTTTTGGCCTCATGACAACCGAAGGAACAAAGAAGGTCAGGCTCATCCACGACCCTACCTCCCCGTATTACATCCCCCCGTCAGAAAGCGCGTGTAATTCTTTGACAAAACATCTTCTCAAAGGTGATAATTATGATATTTGGGAGAAAACAATTATTAATGCTCTAGAAGGGCGTAGTAGAGCAGGTTTTCTCAATCCTTCCGGGTTTCCTAAACCCACTGATGAACAGGAATTGGCGGCATGGAAAGCTAATAATTCCATAATTTGTTCTTGGATCTGTAACAGTGTTGATGAACACATCCAACCTTCCATTATCTCCCATAAAATTGCTCATGAATTATGGTTAGATCTGAAGACCAGA